TTCTTCTTCTTCTTCTTCTTCTTCTTCTTCTTCTTCTTCTTCTTCTTTCTTCTTCTCCTCCTCCTCCTCCTTCTTCTTCTTCTTCTTCTCCTTCTTCTTCTTCTTCTCCTTCTTCTTCTCCTCCTTCTCCTTCTCTTTCTCCTTCTTCTCCTCCTTTTTCTTTTCAATGTAAGGAGATAGGTGCAAGAGAAAATTGATGTTCAGTCATTGAAAAGGAGAGAAAGGAGGAAGGTAATAAGCATTATTAAGTGCTTACTATGTGCCAGACACTACAACAGTAAAATAAAACAGAAGTTAAAAAAGAAAGAGATTAAGGAAGTAGGAGAAAGGACATGTCAGTTTTGAAGAGGGTAGATGGGATGGCAGGTTAGGAAGATAGCACACTGACTGGTGAGGCCAGGTTGGAGCAGAGCACCCTGGTTTGCTATCAACATTACAGCCCTAGGCATCTTCTTGCAGGGGAAATCAAAGGTAGAGGAGAGTAGCAGGAGTAGACATGAGCAACAGATTTCATCTGCTTCACTTTTTTGTTTAGTTCTTATCTTGGTTGTCAAACACCTATACTTACTCTTCCAAGTCTGTTTTATTTCAGTGATACAGGCCCTTCTTCCACCATAAATCTGTAAGGGCTTTCTGAATTAGAAATTAAAAATTCAAGAAACATTTATTAAGTGCCTACACTATGCAAAGCATTATGCTAGGTCCTGGAGACAAAATGATGAAAAATAACAGTTCCTAATGACAGGAAATTTATAACCCAATTAGGGACAGAGTATAATAGCACTCCAATATGGTAGAATATGATAGGGAAGTAATAGGAAAAATTCAGACCAAGTACTCTAGGAAAATTTGAGGAGGTGGGAATCAATCTCAGCTGGGGATCAGGCAAGATCATAGAAAAGGTGGCATCTGACCTGAGCCTTGAAGGAAGAATAAGTTATATATAAAATTTCAAAGTTAGAAAGTACATCAGAAGCCGTCTAGTCCGCTTTATACATAAAAAGTATTCTTTAGACATAAGGACCTTTGCTGAGGGGTACTCACTGCTTCCAGAGGCAGCCCATTCCATTTTTTTTGATAACTCTAATTGTTAGGAAGTTTGGCCTTATATTAAGCTCAAATTTACTTCCTTGTTATTTCCATCTTTTCTGGGCCTGACACCATCACTTTTTTTTCAAATTATCTTTATATGGCATGAACCCTTCACCACCCTGGTTTTCTTCTTATGGATATTTTCTAGGTTTTCAGTGCCTTTCCTAAAATGTAGTACTCAGAAGGGAAGACCAAAAGATCAGAGATGCAATTGGAGTTCATGCAAGGCATAGGGGATAACTAGTGCAGATACATGGAGACAAGAAAGCAAAGGGAGGTGGGGGGAGGAGGCAGCACAGTTGCAATGTAGAGTATATGAAATAAGGTTGGAAAGTTAAATGGGAGCCATATTGTGGAGGGCCTTAATTCAATGCAGGGATTTATATTCTTTTCTGTAGCTATTAAGGTTTTCAAGCAGGGGTGACATGGTCAGATCGCATGTTTAGAAGATGATTTTGGCAGTTTGAAGGATGTGTTGGAGAGGACAGAACCTAGAAGTAGGGAAATCAATCGGGAAGCTCTTATAATAGACCAGATGAGGAGTAATGTATGTTCAAACTAGAGCAATGATGGTAGCCTCAGTACAGAAGAGGTTGAATGTGGGAGAGATATTACAATTGAGATAACTTGGCAACTGATTGAAGGTAAATGCTGAGGGAGAAGGAAGAGTCAAAGGTGACAGCATTTTTGAGACTAGATGCTTGGGAAATTGGTAATATCATTAACAGACATAGCAAAATTGAGAAGAAGGCTCAGTTTATGGAAGGAAGCTTTTCATTTTGCACTTGTTGAATATCAGTGCTGTTGTAAAATCTGTGTGGAGACGTCCAGCAGGTTATTAAAGATGTGGGACCGGAGCCCAGAGGAGAGATTATATGGTCATTTAGATTTGGGGAGGCAGGAATTACATGGACATTTTGATGTGGGAGTCATCTGCCTTAGGAGTGGACAAGGTCACAATGGAGAGACTTTGGAAAGGGAAGAGAAGAGAGGATATAGTCTTACAGGGTCATTCAAAATAGTGAGTGAGAGAAGGAAGACTGGTCAGATGAGCAGGAAAGAAATTTGCAGAGACCAATGCTATAGAAGCAAAAGAAAGAATATGTAGGATGAGAGGTAGTCAGTAGTGTCAAGTACTTCACGAAAGTCTAAGAGAATGAGAAATTGGGAAAAGTCCATTTGGTTTGAGAATTAAGAGGTAATTTTTAGAGATCAACTTGAGGAGAGAAGTGAAACTGGAAACCAAATGGCAAGGGGTTAGGAAGTGACTGAACTATGAGAAAAAAAAAATTGTACTGAGTAGACTTCATTTTTCTAGAAGCTTATCAGTGAAGTGTAAGAGAGATAGCTGAAGGAGATGACAGAATAAAAGAAGGATTTTTTTTCCTAGCATAAAAGAGACCTGAGCATATTTTTAGGCATAGATTAGAGTTGTAACTAGGGTGTGGCAGCCAGGACTTAATCCTAGAGAGGTGCATCTTGCTCCCTGATGTGGTCCGTAGATGGTGTTGCCTGTTTCTCATGCCTTATGGGCTTTGATCAGCTTATATTCCTGTGGGAGTTGGGGTTGGGTGGAGGGAAGATAGCTCTGGGAAAAAATAAGGAGGGATCAAGGTGATTGATGGTAGAGGTCAATGGAGTAGGGGGTAGTATCCAGCACTTCTTAAAATATGAGTCATGACCCTGTATGGGGTCAGTTTAAGAAGCACTGAAAGGGTCTCAAGTGGAAAAAGTTTAAGAAGCCCTGGTAGACCACCCTTTGACCCCTATGACAATATCAGATAAGCCTGTCTCGGTTGGGCCAGCTTGCCTTCTCTGTGCCTTCAAAGCCTCTTTTTCTCCACTACCTTTCCCTACCATTCTTATCCTTATCCAGGGACCTTCTAATTTCTTCTGCCCTCTGGAACCCTTCTTCGTTTTAAAATAAATTCCCATTCATCCTAGGTCTTTTGCTCTCATATTCTTTTTTATCTTCAGATTCTCCCTGAAACTGAATTTTCTCTTGAAGACATCACATCTCTTAGAACCCTCTCTAACACTGGTTGCTCCTTCTCTCAGAGCCACTGATGTACAGGCCAGGAGGAGGAATTAGGCCAGCCTTGCTTCCTTGTGCCACTTTCACACCCTCCCTTTCCTACCATCATGTAGCAGTCATCTTTTCTCCTCTAAATCTTACTTATTCCTGTCCGGATCCTTGTTTTCATCCAGACTTCTAATTCATTTTCCCTCCTTCACAACAAGTTCAATACTTGGTACTTGGTCTTTTTCAACACAACTACTGACTCCATTGAAATCACTGGTCTTCTAGTTACTTAGCATCATTGATCTGTCTGTAGTCTTACTCAACCATGCGTAAGAGTGGTCATAATTGGACTAAAATAATATCTGGAGAGAAAGGGACATATGAGAATGATATTTTGTTGGAGGTAGAAGTAAGATTTTGCAACTTAGTGAATATGTTATAATGGATAAAGTGTTGAATATGGAGTCATGTAGACTTTTTTCAAGTGAAGGTGATTTACTTGCACCTATGGGTTTAATCTGAGTTATATGTAAGTATAACTAGTGATTATAATTACCCATTATTTAGTTGGTTTTTTTTTTACTCCACTAAAGTCTTAGTCTGATGTCTTCTCATGCTTGAGAAATGATCCTCTGTTCCTAAAGCTTATGCCAATGGAGCACAAGCTCTTTAAGGCACATAGTAAGTGCTCAATAAATGCTTGTTGACTGATTATCACACTGTAAAGGCTTTGGTTATGGGCCTGGTGAAAGAATATCCTTTGTGTAAAGTTCATCACTACAGAATTAGAAGTAAGAATTTTTTACCCCAAAGCAACTCTTTAAACTACTCATTCACTATATTGCAGAAAAGATTGTGATGAAATCACACATCCCTGAAGTAAGGATGGATATAGTCTATGACTAAGAACATTAGCTAGGCAAAAATAGGTCCTATTATTTGAAATGCTTAGACCATTTTAATGTTTTGTCATTTGTGGGTGTTCTTTCAAAAAAAAATCCTCTCTCTATTTTGATAGTTATCTCTGTACTCTTCAAAATTAGTGGGTGAGAGAAATCTCAAACTTCATGAATTTTACTTAAACTTTAATCCCCAGCCAACTTCTTCAGATAGCTTTTATAGGATCATATGCTCATAAGTTTAGAGCTGTAATAAAACTTAAAGGTTATCTAGTCCAAACACCTCGTTTTCTAGATGAAGACAATGAAGATCCGATGTAAAGTGGTAAAGGTAAAGTAATTGGTCCAAGGTCACACAGATAGTGCTAGAGTTAGCATTTAAACTTAGGTCATTTGACTGAAAGTCCAGCACCCTTTCGAGTGAACCATGCTATTTACTCATAATTTTCATTTTATAGTTTTTGAGGAACTCCAAAATAAATATTTTGAGGTTCTTCCCACAAACTCAGAGTGACCATTAAGTAGCTTTGGTTGGTTTGTTAGAAAAGTCCATCAAAGAATCATGGTAGACATTTACCATAGAAGCTAGTACTTATTTATTAAAACGAAACAAAATAAAACCCAAACATGTATGTGCATGAGGAATTTCAGTTCTGTCAAGGGTTTTCCAGACCATTTTAATCTTTCTCATCTTCAAAAAAAGTGCTATAGGTAGCCAGAGATGCAGGGCATCCTTAGGCTTGAAATTTTAGTCGAGATTGTTTATTTGCTGTTTCCTGATCTTTTGGATAAAATCTGAAATCAAGAATCAAACATATTTGGGGTTTGCTTAAAAAATGTTTGGAGAACATAAAGGAAAAGATAGTCTTCTAGAAGAAGCATAAAATTAGCTATAAACTTTAATGTGAGGTGCAAAAAGGAATAACCAAATGATTCCTATTCACATTTTTGTTATTTGTAGTAAATACATGACAATATTGATGCTGTATTTGTTAGCAGTGTCTAGCACTGTATTCTGAATGCAGTAAGCACTTAATAACTATTTCTGAATGAAATGGGGGAAATCTATGAGCATGTTCTGTGCCAGGATGGAGAACCTATTTTCTATTGAGGCTCTTGAATCCAAAGAGGAAAATTCAATGAGTAACACTTAAAAGTAAAGTGCAACCTACTTCAGGGTTTTTTGATGGTGGCAATCATAGGATTTAGAGCCCCAAGGATCTAAGAGGTCACCTAATCATGTTCTTATGGCCTTAGACCTAAAAGAGACCTCAGAGGTCAACTAGTCCTATAGGATCAACTCAAGTAGAAATTGGGACCACTAATCCATACAGAAGGATCTCTGTGGGTCACATACTGACTTAGTTTTAAAATGCAATATTATCAATGTTTCATTGTATTTTTATTCATTTTGTTAACTATTTCCCCAATTGCATTTTAATCTGGTGCAGGCTGTACTCAATAGTGGTATGGGCTCCATGTGGACCCTGGGCCATGCATTTGATGCTTCTGATACAGTCCAACCCTCTCATTTTTCAGATGGGAAATGTAGGCCCAGAAATACGACATGACTTAACTGAAGTCCCACAGGTATCAAATGTCCAAACTGGGATTTGAATCTAGGCTCCGGAGTAGAAACCCAATGTTCTTATCATTATATTAAACTGCTTCTTTTTGAGAGAGAGAAACAAAATGTTCAACTCATTTGTGTGTGATAATATGGAACTAAAGAATTCTTTTATTATTTCTTGTATAAATTGAATAAAGCTTTATCATCTATCAAGTTGCTTGTCTTCTCAAGGAAGGAGGAGGGATAGGAGAGAGGTAGAGAATTTGGAACTCAGAATTTTAAAAAAAGATTGTTAAAATTTTTTTTACATGGGAGCAGCAGTGGATAGAGCACTGGCCCTGGAGTCAGTAGGACCAAAGTTCAAATCCAGCCTCAGACACATAACACTCATTGGTGTGTGACCCTGGGCAAGTCACTTAACCCCAATTGCCTTGCCAAAACAAACAAACAAAAAAACAAAAAGAAATTTTTTACACGTAAATGAGAAATGTTTAATGAAATAAGTAAAAATAATTTTTTAAAGTTTTATCATTGGAAGGGAATATAAAAATTTATTTGACAAATACAAGAAATAATAAAACCAATTCTTCCATATTATTGTTCAATAAGGGGAAAAGTGGTTAGAGGAAAGGGAGAGGAAGAGAGTCAAAAGAATGGGAAGGAGAACAAAAAGATGAAGGAAACAGGAAAAAATAGGGAAAGGTAGAGTTTGAGGGGGAAAAAGAGAGGCAAAGAATAAAGAAAGAATACTGGAGAGAGGGAATGGAGAGCAGGATAAAAAAAAGCCAACATTTCTTTCCCAACTAATATCTCCTCCTTGTCTCCCACCCCCATCAAGTAGTTCTGTTCTGCCTTTTCATAATCTCATTCTACCTCCTGCCCACTAGCAGATTAAAACTCTTCTTTTCGTTATTTGGTATCTTGAGTATTATGACCACTATTTCTATCACTGTCACCATTTTCTTCACTACTCATTCTTCTGCCAAAAGCCACTTGCTGGGAACTTTTCTCCAGCATCATGACTATTTCTTCCCTCTCCATTCTGAAAGGAACTTCTCAGAGGGATTCCATGACATGTCTGTGGCTTGGAGAAGATAGGGACCTTGGATGAATTGCTTAGACAGTACAAAGCTGAGATGAAGGTAAATTCTTCTTCAGTAGTTCCACATTATAGTGTTTTAAGTATAATAGAGGTTATGGGTTATTCTTTCCTGCTTTGAGTGTTTGTCAATGCATGCATATGAATCTTGTATTTTCAGCATTTCTTTTGTGGTGGAGGAAATAAATAGCTCTCTGATACCTGATCTACTTTGTACATTGAGTACCTTTCTAGGCAGCTAGGTGGCATAGTGGATAGAGCACTGGGCTTGGACTCAAGAATACCAGAGTTTGAATTCTATCTCAGATACTTACAAGCTGTGTAACCCTGGGCAAGTTACTTAACCACTTCCTACCTTAGTTTCCTCATCTGTAAAATTGGAACAACAGTAGTATCTATCTCATAGAGGATCAAATGAGATGACATACATAGAGTGTTTTTTTCCCAAATCTTAAAATGCCATAGAAATTCTAGCTACTATTATTAATTATTATTATTAGAAGGGAGTTTATTCATCCCTTTGGGGGATATGATAGCCATGAGCCAAACCTAAGCTTTAAGAAACTTTGCCTGGAGTTCTGGGTAGGAATGTAATGAACTAGAGGCAACAAGAAAAATCTCAACCACTCCCTTCGGGGACAGGCTACCACAGGACTGAACCAGGTGCAAGTCCAAAGGTGGGGCCCATTAGGCTCTAAAGGATGCTCTTTGTTCCTGGGATAGAGGGTTGTTACATCAAACAGTAATGTTGAATGTCTGCCTATTGAGAACAAGACCTGTTTTTGTTTCTGCTTTATATCCGCATCCAATCCCCATATTAGATGCTTGATAAAGGATTGTTGAATGGTATGACACCTGAGGCTTTTCAGATCTGCAACTCACCAGCTCTTTGATCTTGATGATTACCCCCAAAGTAGATAATCTGTTTCTTTCTATTTCACAGATGAGGAAGCTCATACTCAGAGAGGATGCCTTGTCCCAGGTCATGTGACTAGGAAGTGGATGAGCTTGGCCTGGAAATCAGGTCTTCTGACTTCACATCCAATGTTCTTTCCTTTTTCGCACACTTGACTAAGTTCCTTCAAGTTGAAGCCCATCTATTCTCAAGTTACTAATAACTGTATTTATTTGGATATAGATGAAATAGCTGTTTTATTTGCCCTGTACAGACTTGCCAATGCTGATAACTACACACTGAAATTGATCACCTGTGAATGATTTTGGGAAACTAAATGGACATGTTTGACAACTCCAGTTGTCTGGCAAAAGTTTTTCAAAGACAATCTAAGAGGATCAGATGAACATCCCACTGAAGAGCAAGAAGATGGATTCCCAGCACTGTAGCCATAGGATTATGAATTTATAGTAAAACTCTTTTCCTACAGTGTATCTGGACTAACATCATTTTGTAAAAACATATATTACAGAAATTGAACAGTTCTTCTGAGAAACTTATTTCTGAAGCATTCTATTCTGTTTGAGCAATGATGGGAGAGGAAACCTGTCACTTTTCAGTTTCCTTTCCCCTCATTAGCACATTGGGATGTAAAAAAACTCAATAAAATTTCAAGAAATATTCATCTTATATTTTTGTATGTACATTAATTCTTATAAATAACAATACACTTTGAATTCATCATAACATTGTTTTACTCATTGAACAGTGAGTCAAGTCAATAAACAGTCAGTCAACAAATATGTATTAAACATCTACTATTTTCCAGGCACTGTGCCAGAGGCAAAAACATGGTTCCTACCCTCAAAGAATTTACATTCTAATGGGGGAGTTAATATGCAAACAACAATATTCATATAAGATAGCTGCAAGGTAAATATAAGGTAATGGCAAAAGTTTATTTTTTTCAAAGAACATTGATTCTTTTTTCCAAGAGTTTAAGATTTTTTTTTACCTGAGGTTCTTTCAGTGACCAATGGCATACCTTTAACACACCTTTATCAAGATTAAGGAGTCAAACTTGGGAACGGAGCAGAGCAATGAAAAGTGGTCCATATGGAGATCAACCCAATGACAACTGAGTTAACCAGTCATAGTTTTAAATTTGTCACCCAATTTGTTCTTCCAATAGGTCAGAATTTGGTTTTGTGGCTGTGTTTCCTAAGTGGGGAAGAAATAGGAGAAAAAGGTGGAAATTGAAAAGAAGAAAATTTAGGCTTACTATAAGGAAAAAAAACCCTTTCTAACAATTAGAACTGTTCAGAACTGGAATAGATTGCCTCAGGGTAGAGTATCATTTGTTTTATGTGAGGTCTTTAAGCAAAGACAGAATGACTATTTGTCTGGTATATTCAGGAGCAGATACTTTTTCAGGTATGGGATAGACTAAATGCCTGATGTCTATTTGAATTCCAAAATTGAAATAGAAATCATATCTGAAGCCATTAATCTATTGCATGCATGTTTGGAAAAAAATACATACTGTATGTTTGCATATAATTTAACATGGGGGCCATTTCCAGTTTTCCTAATGTATATCTTGGCACTGGACCCAGATGGCTCCAGAGGAGAAAGTGAGGCTGATGACCTTGTACAGCCCTCCCTCACTTAAATCCAATTCACTTGCAAGTCATGGCATCATCTTCCTGATATCATGGTCCTCTTCAAGAACAAAGACAAACAACAATTTAATATAATAATACTGCTTTGCTCTGCATGTCTGTGTTATCTTCTGAACTTCTATTCTCTTCTGTGTATTTTTAGCTTTATTGATAGTCTTCTTTACTTTCTTCTTCTTCTTCTTTTTTGCATTACTGTCATTACCTTCCACTCTCCCTCCAACATTTCTGCTGCTCTTCCAACACTGTATCCTTGTGACAAATCAGTATAGTTAAGCAAAACAAATTGGTGGTATATTGGTGATACCTGAAAATGCATGTCTTATTTTACACCCACGGTCCATCATCTCCCATGACTTAGGAGACATACTTCCCCATCACTCTTCTGTAGTTGTATTTGGTCATTCATTGCATTGTTCAGAATTCTTAAGTCATTTAAAATTTCTTACATTTACATTGGTGTGGTCTCCTGGTTCTGCTCTTTTCATTCTGTATCAGTTCATGTAAGTCTTCTAAGATTTCTTTCTAAGATTCTAAGATAATTTCTTGATACAAATCCAATCTGGTTAGTGTATCATTTTAAAAAAATCACCCCTTTTAAACATCTTATTCAATATTTTGCGTTGATATTCACTATGGAAATTATTTATATTTTTAAAGATTTGCTTAGGTCTGAAAAGGGAGCACATTGAGGTGATCAATTATTTTGGTTTTTGCTGACTATTTCTTCCTGTAATTTGATAAACTTTTCCTTAAAAAACTCAAATGCTATGCCCTTTGATTCATATATATGAAGCATTGATACTATTTGATTATCTATGATGCCTTTAAGTATAATATAGTTTTTCTGCTGGACTCTGGAAGACAGAGTGAGGCTGATGACTTTACATAGCTCTGCCTCACTTAAATCCAATTTGTGTACAAGTCAAGATGATGTCATTGGTGATGTCACGGTTCCACTTTGAGAATGAAGTACAAACAACATGTTTTCCTGCTTATCCTTTTTAACTAAGACTAATTCTTCTTTTCCTATGGTGTTGTCCAAAATCATGATTATTACCCCTGCTTTTTAAAAACTTGCCTAAAGAATAATAAATTATGCCCCAGCCTTCATTTAATTCTTTGTGAACACTTATGTTGCAAATGCATTTTTCATAAACAACATATTATTGGAGTCTTCTTTCTAATTCATTCTACTACATTCCTCTATTTTATGGGTCAATTCAACCCATTTACATCAACTCTTGTAGTTCTTATTGTGTATTTTCTTCTATCATGATTTCTTATACTTTCCCCTCTTCACTACCTACCATTTCTTCATCAAAAGGAAAGGGGTGGAGAAAGAGAATGAATTAGAACAATATTAGTAATATATAATTGAAATTACCTGTTCCTACTCCTTTGTGCCTCTTCCCTCCACCAAAAAAAATCAACCTCAATTTCTATTTCTTACATTCTATAATCCTTCTTTATGATTAACTAGCCAAAACTAAGATTTGTTTTGCTTGTTATTATTCCTTTTCCAACTCCATTTTCTGTCTTATACTGCTCTCTCTCATTTCCACATCCATTTCTTTCCTTTCTTAAAACCAACAAAACTAAGCATACCCAAATCCTGGTCCAGTATTTGTATTATTTACCTGTATCTATAATTATTGATGTTTAGATTCTGATGGGAGCACTTCTCTCATTCTATGAGGATATAAGCATGTCATCATTTTGCTACTTCCAATTTCTCAAATATATTTACCTTTTAAATTTTCTCTTGCCTCCTTTGTTTACATTTCAAAGTTTTCACTCAGTTCCGGTCTTTTCATCAGGGATGCTTGAAAGTCCTCTATTCTATTACAAATCTTTCCCTATAGGAAAAGATAAAGGAATCCCCAAGTGCAGTAATTTCTACATAGATGAATCTCAATTATCCACAGTATACAAAGATGAATCTCAATTATCCACAGTAATGATGACGAACAGTATGCCATGGATTATGCAAAACACCAGGTAATTTCTTTTAAAAATTTTTTAATAATATTTTTTTCCCCAATTACATGTCAAGACAATTTTTAGTATTCATTTTTACAAGATTTTGAGTTCCGATTTTCTCCCTCCTCTCTCCTCCCCTTTTCTGAAAATGGTAGGCAATTTGATATAGGTTTTATATATATATATATATATGCTATCATGTAAAACATATTTCCTTATTGGTCACAATTGTGCAAGAAGAAATAGATCAAAGGGAAGAAAAAAACACAAAAAAGAATAAAGTAGAAAAAATACGCTTTGATCTGCATTCAGAGTCCATCAGTTCTTTATCTGGATGTGGATAGCATTTTCCTTCATGAGTCCTTTGTACTTGTCTTGGATCATTGTGTTGTAGAGAACAGCTGAGTCATTCATAGTTGATCACTATACAATGTTGCAGTGTACAATGTTTTCCAGGTTCTGCTCATTTCACTTTGCATCAGTTCATACAAGACTTTCCAGATTTTTCTAAAATCTGCCTGTTCATCATTTCTTGTTGCACAATAGTGCAATTCCATTCCATTCCTATACCATAGCTTGTTCAGCCATTCCCTAATTGATGGGCATCCCCTCAGTTTCCAATGTTTTGCCACCACAAAAAGAACTGCTATAAAAATTTTTCATGTAGGTCCTTTCCTCTTTTTTGTAATCTCTTTGGGATACAGACATAGTAAAATGAGTGGTGGATCAAAGGGTATGCACAATTTGGTTGCCCTTTGGAAATAGTTCCAATTTGCTCTCCAGCATGGTTGGATCAGTTCACAACTCCGCCAACAGTGCATTAGTGTCCCAATTTTCCTACATTGTCTCTAGCATTTATCATTTTCCTTTCCTGTCATATTAGCCAATCTGATAGGTGTGAAGTGGTACCTCAGAGTTGTTTTAATTTTCATTTCTTTAATCAAAAGTGATTTAGAGCACTTCTTCATATGCCTATAGATAGCTTTGATTTTTTCATCTGAAAACTGCCTATTCATGTTTTTTGACCTTTTATAAATTGGGGAATGACTTGTATTCTTGTAGATTTGACTCAGTTCTCTATATATTTGAGAAATGAGGCCTTTATCAGAAACACTTGCCCTAAAGATTGTTTCCTATCTTTCTGTTTTTCTTCTAATCTTGCTTGCATTGGTTTTGTTTGTTTAAAAGCTTTTTAACTTAATATAATCAAAATTATCTATTTTACATTTTGTAATGCTCTCTATCTTTTGTTTGCTCATGAATTCTTCCCCCCCCCCCCCATAGATCTTACAGGTAGACTATTCCTTGGTCTTCTAATTTTCTTATGAACACCAAGTACTTTCAACATTCATTTACAATGGGCTTTAGAACAGTATTTCTCCCTCCAAATCCCCAACAGATTTACTTAGTAATTATGCTTTGCTTAGGTTAATATTGAAATTAGTATGTATTCTCTGAGTACACACTAGTTGATGGTGGGAGAATTGACCCCAAAGTACACTAACTGGAAGAGAAAAGCCAGCTTGTGGATATTTCATATAAAGATAATAATAATAATAATAAAAAACACCTGACTATGACCCATGATTTTTAGCTCATTAAGGACACTGTCTTCTTTAAAATTTATGTAATTTAGAAGTCCATTAGTGTCTCCAAAATTTTTTTATGGATCGTACTTGGCTACTTCATACTAAAATGTTCATTAGATTGTCTGATTCATACCCACTCAGGTTTTGAATTTGTGTTTACCCTGGTTCATATCTTTGGTCTGTCCTTCTCTCTTAAGAGTTACATATGATGTCTATTCTGTACCACAACTGGGTCAATGTTCAATGTTCTTTCCTCTGTACCACATATTTTCTCAGGCTTTCTTCAAGGCACAGGTCAGGTGCCATCTCCGACTGCAGGTTTTTCCTGTTAGTAACATGCTTTCCTCCTTGAAGTTATTTTATATTCTTCTGTATATTCTTTTTATTTATTTATGTAATTGTGTCCCTCCAGAAGAATGTAAGCTCCCTGATGGCAGGT